CCAAGCATAAAACCGTTTTCATGTGCAATCAAACCAAACTCTTCGTAAAAAGCCAGAACGAAGCGTGCAAAATAAATAAGAAGAGCTCAAGATGCTGTCCTATCAGCGGCAGCAACAAGCCAATCAAAATGCAATTTCCACTCGTGCACAGGACATAATTTAACGACACACATGCGGGGGCTGTATAACCAGCAATGGCCCGCCCACTCGCTTTTCCTTGGCTTTCCCTACTTTCCATCAAGGTACAAATAATAAATATGCAAACAAGTTGATTCAGCGGGCTCAGCTGTGACTATGAATTTGTCATTTGGTTTGCGCATCAGCAACATCAGCATCAGCAGAGGCAAAAGCTACGAAGAAGGAATGAAATGAAAATATTTATACAAATAATAGCTGAGCGACACACGTTGGGTATACGCAATGTTGACGTTGATGGGGTCACAGCCCACATATAAAGATAAAGATAAAGAACGAGCAACTTCATCAAAACAGAATCAGCTGCAAGGCTCTCAGTGATAAGCAAACAATTGCCCCAAGGATCTGAAAAAAAAAAAAAAAGGAACTCATCCTTAAGCTGGTTTTCGCCCAAATTAAATTCGTCAGCAGAGAAAGAGAGATTCGGGGAGAGAAAAATCCTGTAAAGCTTCGTCTCGCCCTCGCACACTCCCCTGACGAATTTGATGGGCTTACATGTGTGTAAAATGTTTTTTTCCCTCTACTCCGCTTTTAAGGGCATCCCTTGAGTGTTGCCAGTTTCCAGTAAAAGTGTTGCCCCATTCACAGTTAATTATTGTGACGTCCCGTCCACTTGAGTCCGCCGGAAATCAACAAACATTTCCGCTCAACATTTCGGCAGTTGCAGGAAAAAAGGAAACATTAGCATAATAAATTGGCCCAGCCTGGTTTATCGGAGGCAAGTGAATAACTTCATCGCTTAGCCGCATTAATAACGCGGCTTTAATAAGGACTTGGCCAAAGAATTCCCCATCGAACTGGTGCTGACTACGTGACCAGATAACTAAGCCTTATCAGTGGGTGGAAAGGCGGAGGGGAAAAATATATAGAAAAGACCGTTATTCTTCATTCCGAGGCACACACAGAAAAAGAAAAGAAATATTTTTAAAATGAGAACTTGAAGTAAAATTTTGTTTACTCCTTAGAAAGGTTAATAGTTCTCCAACATGCTCTTTCATTACTCTAAAATTTTACAATTATTAATGTCATTTAATATCAGTTTATTAAGATTTCTCCCTGTGCAGTCATTTTGTTGACTCCCAAGTATAGTTGTCCCACCCATTCCCACTCCCTTGCTAGCTTCTACAACACATCTATCCTATTGTAACAGCCTTTAGGTAATTGTGTGGCCATAAATCTCTCCTTTGGCTTACTGCACTGACTCTCCGGGGCAATTTAACGCCTGTCCGGGTGTAGCTGCCAAATACCATTCCGAAGAGAGACACCCAGACGGAGTTGGGATACCGGAATGGGCATAGATGTGCAGGTGCGGATTGAGTGGAAAATCGATCCAAGGCAATTAAGGTCAACGGGGAGAGTAAAAAAAAAAGGTGAAACTGCCCTTCAACTTTTTCAATTAGCCAGGTGACCAAAGTTATCGCTCGGAAGAAATCAAAAGAATCAAAATTACGGCCACGCAAACAGCAAACCCTAGAAAACAGAAAAAGGTTAAGCAGAGAAAAGGGAGGGAAAACTTGGAGAGGGAGAGGGAAACCTTATATAAACATAGAGATGCCTTTCCCCCAGGCCAGAGAAGCCGTCAATAATCCCGATTAGAGCATGTGTATATGAAATATTTATGCTGCGGCTTGGCAAATGGAATTCCCTGCCAAAAAAGGTCGTTCGAAATAAAAGCATGAATAATGGAGGACAAGGGATGCGATGCCAAATACAAAGGATCACTCTGTAATTTGCTTTTTAAAGTCATCGAGGCGATTCGCAGTTCATTTTATGGCAGGTCGGGCAATCATAATGAAACCAGTTTTATTGCTCCAAAATATGCAACACGTTTTCGGCACTGGAATAATTTTTATACCCGAGACACAACCTCATCTCGCCTTCCTTGCTGGCTCTTAATTTATTGTTTTAATTTTTAGTCTTCGCCCGGCCACAAAATGGCGTCCTAAGCCCAGGGAAACCCGGGAAAACTTTCAGGGAAAGTGTTAAGAACTCGTGTAAATTCCATTAGGGCTAAAAAGTTTCGGGGGGAGCAGCAGGCAGAAAGGACTCCAGCCGAAGGCTCTGTCAAGTGCGATAAATCAAGGAAAGCAAGCAGCATCTACAAGACAAAAAAGGCCAGGCAACAGAGTGAGCGAAATTTGGTAATTAAAAGCAACGCGTGGCCGGAATTATGCAAGGCAGGCTATAAAAATGCAAATTTCCCCGGCTTAAAGCCTGGTTGGTACATCAACTAATCAATGTTAATTGGATTGGCGTGGGAAATTTGCAAAGTTATTTGGCGCTTTTCTTCTTGGCTTCTCGCAAAAAAATGTAAGAATCTATAAATATGCAGCGGCAATTACGCATCTGAAACAGATTGCTGCACCGCTCTCAAAGATAAGCGACCTTGAGCCAGCTGCCAACTGAGTGACAATCTCATTAGGGGAGAGAGGAAAAGTATACAATTTGCTGATCTAATCCGTTTGCTTTGTGTTTAGGGAAAAATTTAATAATTCTGATACTTTGTTTTGATATCAAGGTAGGAAAAGTCTTAGGTAGGGAAGTAGTAGGGAAATCTTTCTATTTTGATATTTCCTTTTTAAAAATCTATCTAAATTTAAAATTTAAAGAGATTATCTGGGTAATCTCTAGAAACTACAATCTTTCTAATAGTTATTCTTGGAATCTTCTGTATGGAAATTATTTGTAAGTGTTAGTTATCACACTTTTGTTACGTTTTAAAACAAAAAACTGTTATCAGAGAGTTATAAATCAGGCCAAGAGTAGAGTAAACCCCAACAACGTCTATATAACAAGTGAGAGAATTGAAAAAAGGTAAACAAAGTTCAAAGAGATTCTGTAGAGTTGGCACTGTGACAAAGGCGCTCTCTCTCTCTCTGTTTCTCTGCTTGTGTAATATTGTTTTTATTCAATTAGGCAAAAGGAAATTACAAAAGCAGCAACTACAAAGCAATACATTTGTTGTCATTTAAATGCACACGAGTGGAAATGGGATAGCAAATGCTAGGCAGAAAATAGTCGACTTACGGAGACACTTTTATGAAAGATAGAGAAATCTTCAAGAAATATGAATACAAATTTAGTTTAAAAATATTTTACGTTATTTATTTAATGTTAAATTATACTACCCTTAACATATTTTAGAATATAAACTCATCTTTCAAGTTTAATATCTATTAAAGAATTGTATTTCCATAGTTACCCGTACACCCTCATTTTGCTTTATAAATAATAATATAATGCTCTTCTTTCGCTCCCTCTCTCTTTTTTTTATCGGGACCTTTACGCATTGCGTAGTTACACAATCGATTTGTAAGAAGTTTAATCAAGAATTGAACAATTGAATCAAGTTGATTGACGCAGTTAAAAGAACACCAGAGAGGAATATATGTATGGGGGAGGCTAATCACATGTTGTGTGAATTAAAAGCAAATTGCCAGCATTCATTTGCACCGCATCAGTGCACTCGTCATCATGTGCGGGCGAAGGGGGGGTACAAAGAGTACACATAAAGAAATTGCATTGAATTTCAAAACTTTAAGCATCTGTGTACCATTTTATACCTAAATGCTCACAATGATTCAGATTTTTAGTGTAAAAGAAAATAGAGTTAACGTGAAATTTACTTTTTAAAATACTGGAAACTGAACTTTTCTTATAGAAAAAAATATTAAATCCTCAAAATGTTCTCTCTGTGCATAAAAACGAAGGCATGTCGTAAACGAAAATACATTTTAGCCAAGTGAAAGTGTGGTGGCTGACGATGCTGATTCCCATGAGCTAGTGAATTAACGAATTTATATGAAAACCGACACGAGGCTCTAACCACACACAAAAAACGGGTTACAATTAAAAATGAATTTGTACTTTTTTGGTAAAACAATCAAATAAGCTCATCCCCGAAAAAAAAAAAGCAAGTAGGATGTACCAGAACCAGTCTCATTCATTACTTTTTTACTGTTCAGGCAAGTGTGAAATTCAAACAAAATAACAAAAATAAACAAAAACAATGCACAAATATTTGCTCATACACGCTTAATTCAAGTAAATACAAATTCGTGAGGGGTACTTACCAGTCGAGCTGAAAAAGAGGAGCTTGATTGGGGGAGGAAAGAGGAGGTGGCCCGAGTGTCATCATCTACATTGTTAATTTATTATTCATTGTTGACCCGCACGTGGACACACGCAATGTTCATAAAAATAAATGGTATTATAGAGCAAACACGAATGGAAAAAGACCCGAGAGAAAACAGAAAGAAATATCGAATCGATTATGAATATGGAAATTTAAAGGAAAATTCAATTGCGGGATGCTAATTTGGTGGCTGTTATCAAATGGAAAAGGAGAAAAATCTGGGCCAAAGCCCAAACCAATCGTTGGTGACAATTCAATAAATGACGGATTAGAAAACCAAATCGATGCGAAGGAGAGAAGAAAATCTTACATAAAGCACCAACTGAGGCGCAGAATTCTTTATGCAAATGTCGAGCACACGCAGCACACCCTCAACCTCCCACTCTTCCGGCCACCCAACCCCATTTCAAGGCAGTACAAATATTTTCAATGAGAGGGAGAGGAGAAATTAAATTCGGTCGATTAATAATGGGTAGGAAAAAAGAATATGAAGAGAATTTCACTTTCCGCTTAGCAGCTTAATTAAAAGATAAAATGTAATGAGCAAATATCCGGCATTGTTTCCCCCAAAAATCCCACCCTTATTCCAGCTCAATTCGGACTCTTTGGGACCCCCATCATTATTCTACGGTTAGTATTAAGGAAAATATATGAACTGCAAATGACTCACCTTATCACGTAGTTAACGCAAACGACGCTCTGTGGCTTTAATTTATCATAGACGATCGTGGCCTGGCTAACAATCCAGCAATAGCCGCCATATTTTCCCAGAAATCGGTAGCGACAGGTCTCGCCCTGTCCCTTGCTCAGCACTGCAAAGATATGGGTGAAAAAAATATATAATTTAGTCAAAAAGCCTTCAAGAAAATGTGGTTCAAGTTCTGGTTTTAACTATAGGGTTCGCGCTCTTGGCAGGGAAATCAAATTACAATCGGATATTAACCGCAACCGAGACAAAAACAATAAATAAAATCTCTGGTTTACCAGAAACCGCCCACTAAATGTGTCATAATCGGAGCACGCGGCTCTTGACATAGATACAACCTCAAACATTGAGAGATTGGGAGATCTTTTGTCTTAAAAGATGGCCTGAGAGTATCATTATGGTAACCAGTTGGGAGTATTTAGCCCACTTTGAACAAGGATACACAGAGAAAATATTAATTAAACGATAAAAATAGCATTAATATAATATAGTTATTAAATTCCCTATTTAAATATCATTCTGCACTTTAAGAACATATTTTAAATCATTATAAAATCCTATTAAAAATTAAGCAAGCTTAAGAAAACAAAACTGTAACCATTATTTCCATATTTAAATTCTACCCCAGTGTATCTCTGAGCTGGTTGGCAAATTGTCAAGTCTCAAATTACGGCGCCGAAAGCGCTCGGGCATAAAAATTAAATAATAGCAGCTCGCTGCGTGGCAAGCGAAGGCCAAAAAATGTGGGTGTGGCACGAGGGTCTTAGGCATTTGATTGAGACTTTGCCTGCTCCTAGACAGAGGGAAAGAGATAGGGGGGGAAAGGAAAACGTTGCCAAGTAATTTAGCTCAACGAGGACGCCACATAAACTCGATTTTAATTAAAAGCGCCTCCTAAAAAAAAAAGAAACGAGCGAACGGAATAAAATAAATATAAAGGACCAACCACACACACACACACACACAGAGCTGAAAGCCAAGGTAAAAGCTTTTATCTGTGTTTTTGTGATGGCGACGACTTGGCCCCAAAATCATTTCAATCAAATTTTTATGGACGCCACTGGCAGCGACAAGAACATTAAATAAATGATGAAAATTCATAGGAATTTTGGTAAAGCAATTGAAATTCATGGATGCCTTCCCAAAACCCTGGTCCAGCAAATCTGGATTACCCCAATTGCATGTGGTCACAGGTGGAAGAAACAGGGTCATATAACGTTAAGGACATCAAAATAAATTTGCATAAAGTAAGCCAAGCATTAATTGAATTACTTAACTTTGCAAGTGCCAGGCGACCTTTGCAGCAATTAAACCACAAATGGCAATAACAGAGGGTTTCATAAATATAAGTCACTAAGCTTATGTCAACTTAAGATGTTGAGTAATGTTATATGGTCTATAAAATAATGCTTAAGGTCGTAAACTACAAAAATATGTTTAGGAGATTATTGTATTGTTAAAGAAACTAATAGAAAGTAATACATTTGGAAATAATCTAACGAAACGCACTGTAGCCTAGGTTCTTTCATTTATTCATTCAGTTAATTCGAAATCAGCAGCAGAAAATTAGTTTTTCTTTCTCATTTCTGGGTTGGCTTAGAGTGGTCATGTATTCCAACTTTAACAAAGAGAAAATAGCGAGCAAACGAGGCGGGGTAATTATGCGGGGTCATTAATAAGACAACATCTAAAAGGCCGTGCCGAAATTCCGAGACTCTGGTGACAGCTCAGCGAGATTGATGCCAGCATGACAGCATACATATGTGAAGGCTGGCGTCAAATCCTGTCCCTAGAAAGTATGCTATACAAAAAAGCCGTGGAATGTCTGGCTTAGAGTTGTCAGGAAGGGCTTTAAAAATAGCTTCAGATATGTTTAATTAAGATTTTGAAGACTTAATATATACAAATTATTTACATTTAAATATTTATAGTACTATTTATGAATATTTTTCTATAAAATACATTTTTCTTTCTTTGACAAACTTAAAAATCTTATTTAAACCACTCAAAACTTCAGCTAGAATACAACTAAGCTCACAACACCGAGACTCCAAGCTCAGACGATTGCCATTTGGCAGTGTTTATGTGGAATTAGCAAAGTGAGCAGACAGAAAAGCAGCAAAAGCAGCAGTAGGAAAAGCAGGAAAAGCAACTGCAGCCACCGGCAGCTGCAGCAGTGAACTTGATTTGCCCTTAGCCAAGGACTTTTCCCGGACTTTTGCCCGGAATTTGAGCTTGAGCTTGAGACGGAAAAATATTAAAATATCTACGCGCGGCAGCAAAGATCATTTATCAGCAATTTTTTAGCAGCATTCCTTGGCTGCTGCCAGTTTTGCAGCCATTTCAGCTTCCACAATTTATGAACACGAATGCAATCCGCTTTTCGCATGGCAATGGCAATGGCCATGGCAGTGGAATTGCCAGGACATGGCAGGAAGAGAGAAGCTGCCTGGTTGGCTGGCCATTTGTACAAATAATCAAACAGAGCAAGAGGATGCAGGATGAGCCCAGACTCGACTCTATTTCGAGTCGAATGCAAGACAAACATCAAAACCGCATTCAAGGTTATGTATCAAGCTGGTTGAGCAAGCACGGATGCTGAGGATTCGAAGGATGTCGGATGCACACAGGATGCACACACACAATGCGTGCTCAGACACGCTCGAGTACACGAGCAAATCCTCGCAGCAACACAACAGTAAATCATCATCAACGCAGTGCACGAACCGAGAGTTGCCAAAAGGAAGGACCAGGAATAGGAATCGGAACAGGAACAGGTGCAGCGACTCCTAAATAAGGAGAATCCTTTTCCTGATCAGTTTAGGATTTACACAAATCAAATATTTGTGAGCTATAAAAATGTTATATATTTTATAAAATGTCATAAATTGTTAAAAACAACCTAAATAACTTAAAAAATGGTACTTTATAAGGAAAATATATATATCTATATTTAACTTGTAATTTAATAGCATCTCTTAACCCCTTTTGGCCAGTAGTTACTGTAGCCCATTCGTTTACTCGCCTTGATTGCTTGACCAGGGTCCATGGCACACAGTGGGCAGTGGGGGTTAACTCAAGGATGGATCGAGAAATCACATTGGCACAAGTGGATAAGGAAATAAATGTTTGGCTTTGGCTGCCCAAGGATGTGCGCATAAATCAAGGATTTGTTTGCGGATTCTTTTGCCGCACAAAGGTAGTTGACTTGGAGCGTCTTAAATTTAGACGTAGCACTGACCTTTTGGCCTTCGCTTAGGGCAGCCATTCAGCCAGCCACGTGGCGTATACGTAATCTGTCCTAATTGAATTAAGCCGTGACATAATCCCCCGATCCACAAGGCACCTAGCTTAAAGTCAATATGTGCTGGGAATTTATGCAAATTTTACTCTCTATTTTATATATATATTTAATTTTTTTTTTTCCTGAAAGATACTCCCCTTCTTCTAGTCGCTTGCCAGTCGTGTGGAAAATTGCATTTCACTACCTTTTCTTTGGCTGCCAAGACGGGACATTACCGGGGATTGCAAATCCCAGTTAGTGGCCAACGACTTGAAAGGGTTTTCCTCGGGCATAATGCAAACTTAGTGCCAAGTCAAGCCATATTCCAACTCTTAAAGCTGGTCATTACAACTCTACAACAGCGCTGCCTGCAGTGCCCATAAATGGGTTAATGAATGTTACAGGACTTCGTTTCATCTAAAGGAAAACTTCTACTCGAGGGCCAAGAATAGGCCAAGTTCTGTGGTTTAAGAGGGAATATTTCATGAGCTTATTTTGGGGGGGACGGAAACCCAGGGACCACAAACACACACATGTGTGGCAGCTGGCCAGAGAAAGAAAGGACATTTTGTGTTTTCCTTGGACCGCCCGGAGCGAGGAAAGTCGACAAGTTTGTCGGGTTCGATGGAGCCCATTAAAAACTACTCAAAATGTCAGCAGGACCATAAACCACACGGGGGGATGTGCGAAAAGCAGGACCACAAAATGTAACAAATTTGCTTAATCTGCCGCCCGAAATATTCTGACATAGAAGACCGTTCGTAACGTTTTTTTACCTTTCTTTTTGCACAGAAAGAAATAAGGTTATTGAAAAAAAAATCTGATAAGTTTCAGAACAATTTCCTGAGTAACAAATTCGCAGTCATTACCAGAAAAATCTTGTACTTTTTTTCTTGTGTGACTAGAAAGTAAATGTAAAATTTCTAGAGGAAAACGCGACTGAAAAGACAGGAAAAATCGTAAAAGAAAACCAGAGAGAAGGCAACAACGGAAGCGGCAAAAAAGTTAATTGAAAACAAAAGTCAAAGAATTTGCATATTTATTTGCAGCCTCAGACATCGTTTTCTCGACTTGCCTCTGCCTTGCCTGCCACAAAAGTCAATATTTATTTATGCGTGCGGAAAATTTAAATGATTTAAAAGCTGACGAAGCAGAAGAAAAACTAAAGTGCAGTCGGGAGAGTAAAAGCGAAGATTTTCAGCGCCCGCCTTTCCTTGTGAGATTTTCTTTGTTTTGCATTAATTAGAATTTAACAAAAATAAATGCTCGGTAATTGCAAACTTTCTCCCTTTCGCGGCCCAACCGCCATTTAAGTTGCCTGAGATTCCGCCCATTATGCTCATTAATTCCATTCGCGCCAGGTGAAAATATACATCCCCCGCCCCACCGCCTGTCTTCATTTAATTAACTCAATTTGAGCGTACGGAAAGACATCATCAAGACATCAAGAGGGAGAACTAAGATTGAGAACTGCCTCCAGGTGTTGGATACATATATATGTATATGTATCCTGTGATACATGAGGAAGGAGTTAAGGGGAAGCTACCAATTTCCGCTCCTTCCTTTGGACTGTTCAAACAATTAAGTGCTGATGCTTGGCAGTTTTTTTCGTTACTTTTTTTTCGTGTTTGAGGAGCGGCAGCTGCAACTTTATTAAGCAAAATTTAATGGCGGTAGCTTTTTCCTACTTGTCTTTCCCCTCGAACTATGTCGCTCCCCTGAACTCCTGTCGTTTTTCATTAGCGCCACCAACTGACTTGCAACAATTGTTGCACACAAACAACAAAATCTCGCCAACTTTGGCTGCAATATTTTTCTTTTCT